AAACCAAAATCGATTTTGCGCAAAAATTCCCCCTTTCCCTTAATTTTTCTTTTATTTTACTTTTTGACCCCCAAAGTACCAACTAGATTCACTTTTCTATCAGAAAAGTTACTGTTGAAGAAAATCCAAGCATTTTTACTGTTTTAAAAGGTGATGACAGACACCCAAAAAAAAAAAAACACATATCATTGTAAAATCAATACACTCATCGCTTCGCTCAGAATCTAAAAGTTGTACGTAAATTTACAATAGTGTATAATGAATCATCAAAAGTTTTCTACTTTTAGTAAAATGTTAACCGGAAAGTCGAATATATTTTTAATAAGCATTTAAAGTTCAAATGTGCATTTATGGGCTATTAATAATATAATATATTATACCTATTATGTAGCTTTATCTTTATAAAATAAATATAAAATCAAATTATAACATCTACCATAAAAGTACAGTATTTTATACGTATTTTTTAACATTAATTTCTTACAGAGTATCCGTGAAACTGAAATTAATGTTGAAAATTATGAAACGGATTTTATGAATACATCTGAAGCCATCTCTGAACAAGATCATGAGGAAGTTGTAGTTGAGGACATACAAGACGTGTCAATGTCAAATGAATATTATGTTTCAAATAAATCAAAAAAAAAAAAATTATCAAGAGATGATGCACGGATTGAAGAGGCCTTACAGATATTAAAAAAAACAGTAGAAGAGCCAATAAAAGAAATGGACGAAAGCGATTTGTATTGCAATTACCTTTCCAGCAAATTTAAAAAATACACACAAAGAACAAGAATGCTTCTCGAACATGACATAAATAAGTTATTGCTTGATGCTGATCTTGGAAAATATGAAATGGATACTACTCTACATCCACATTATAATATTAACTCATATTATCCTTCATTGACTCGGGTTCCTTTATCAGCCGTACCTGGTCTGGTGATTCCTGCAAATTCTTCTCAAGATAACAACTTACACACTCGGTATACTTTTCCTCAGTCTTCACCACCAGAATCGACATGTACATCTTTTTCAACTTTATCCGGTCCCCAAGTTCAACATTTTTCAGACAATTTTAATCCTTCATACACTTTTCCACAAACAGCAATATCAGAATCTACATCTGCAACTACATCTTTATTAACTACGCCTGAATTGAACTATCAAAGCACTTCTGGTATATAGTTTATTAATTTATATACTTTTGCATACTAATTAAAATAAGTAAGTTTTTGCACATTTTTAAATTAAATAATACATATTACTAAAGTTACAAGGATAGTAACAAGTTATATTATTTTTTTTTAACTATAAAGGTTTCTATTTTTTTTTTTATATTTATACTTACACATTTTATATAAATTAAAATTGATTTTATAGTGTGTACAATTAATTATCATGCACATTACAAAAAATTAGAACATAATATATTAATATTATATGTACCTAACTATATTGTCTTTGTTATATACCCGTGTAAATGCAATTATATAGGTATAAACATATTGTATTAAATACCTAATATGTTTATATTAGTATATTACATTTTATGCAATAAAAATGTGAAAATTTCTTACTTTTTAAATATTTTTATTTTTTATTGACTGTAATTAGTTTTTAAAAAACATCATTAATAATCATTATAATAAATAATCATTTAGTGCATATTTAGTGATTTTTTAGAGTTTTATGTCCTTTGTCCTATAGTTATTTAAGAACTAAGTATAATTACCTACATTTTATTCCTTACCTTGATCATGTCTGACAGTACGTTTGTTAATGCAATGCATACTTCTGGTATGATATTAGATATTGTGGACTTTGAGATTTTGAATGTGTATTGTAGACTAGTATACGAATCCCCGGTGGCCAGAAAACGTAAAGTCACGGCTAATCTTTCCTCTACACTTATGGGTTTCCTCCAATGCGTGGTTTGTTTTTCTACTTGCGGACGAATCAATGAAACTAAATACTTGAAGTCAGAATAAGCCATGCGAACGAAATTTTCAAACTGTCCACTCTCTTGAAACAGCAAATCATTGATTAAATTTTGTCCACCATGTTCATCCCTGTTCTTAAACAATTGAGTGATCCACCAACGTCTTTTTTTGTTTTTTGTTTTGTTTTTTTTTGATAAGTGAATTTAAAATTATGAATGTGGCACCTGCGATGATTGTGCGTCTTTTTACAAGTTCGTTATTGACCATTTTAAATAAAACTTATTGGTAACTGAGTAAAAAAACTGGATGTGCAATGTGGACGTTCAAGTCGATAATGAACAAGTTCGCCTGAATTTAATTTTTGCGAATAATTTTGAGCCAGTTAGAGCGGCTCCGGCCAGCTCGCCTATAGTGTTTACACAATGCGCTCAGTGCTCATGTTTTGCTCGCGCTCACTACGGCTCGACCGTGCTTTTGCTCATGTGTAAACGCACCTTTAGATGCTCAGCTCAGACATCGCAATTATGTATAGAGAATGGGCTTCAACAACCAGCGAACTTGAACATCATAACAAAAGCACGAAAGGTATATAAATTATCATTGATTTTATACCTACTTAAAAATATAAGCCATGTTATAACTTATAAGTTATAAGCATATCTGGTAATCAAACTATGATTTCCAGTTGTTATAACTTGTAATATTATGATCTACTAACATGGGTACATTATAAAAGTTTTAAATTCTTATTTGATAACTTATACTTGAACATCATTTTGATTGATTCCCTATTACTTGACTAACATATTCATGATCAAATCAATAGCAGGTATTATTATATTCAATTTTAAATGGGTTTTCAATTTATACATAAAACAGCATTCAATAGTAAATAACTGAACCATTTACAAGATTTAAAAAATGATTCTTTATTTGTTATTACTATATTATTATATATATATATAATTATTCAAATCTTTAAAAGTTTTTTCATCTTAAATAATTATTTTCTTAATCAGTTGATTTTTTTGTCTGTGATACAAATATAGGTTGTGAAAAGTGAAAACACTTAGAACCCAGTCGTATGCTGCATTATTAAAAAAAGATGGTTTAAAACAGGCTATACTCGATAATATTACAAGACGGAGTTCGAAGTATGTAATGTTACTTAGATTACTTGAACTCAAAACTTTTTGTGAAGATCATCAACAGATAAACCATGATTTGAAGTTAAACTTAAATGAATGGAAACGAATTGAATGTTTGGTAATATATTATAAATTATAAAATTGAGTACCTATCATTTTTGTTATTACATTTCAAACTTTGTATAGATAAAATCTCTTGAACCAGTTTATTTCGCTACAAAATTGCTTCAAAAGAAAGATTTAACTATAGGAGATTTTTATGAGATTTGGATCCAGACCAAAAATAAATTAAATCAAATTAGTTCTACAGTATCATTATCTATTTTAAATAATATGAAAACTCGTGAAGTTCAGTTATTGGAAAATGATATATTTATTTCAGGTAGATAATAGTATAATACCACTGTCCACTATATTATACACATTGTAGGTATATTACATTTAAACATTTTAAACATAATATTGTGTTTTTGAATTTTATTTTAAAGCTGTATATATGGATCCACGGTTCATGTGTTTACTAACTGTTCCAAAACAAGAAATAGCGGTCAACTACCTTTTGAAAATATGGGATTTAAAAGAGTCATTAACATGTATTGAGGTATAAATCAATAAACAACATAAATTTGTTTTAACTTTTAAGTTTTAACACAATAACACACCTATATTGGCTATATTATGTTCGATCAACTTATTATTTTATGAGCAAAAACTAGGAGCCTATAGCCTATAACAATAATTTGATTTGTTCTTGTAAGTTAGTGTTAACTTCTTCGGTTTTTAGTTTTGCTTGTTTTTAAATTTTAAAAGATCAATTATAAATTATCAATATGAAACCCTGAAGCCCTCAAAAAAAAAAAAATTTTACATTACTGCAAATTCCATAATAAAATAATAACAAAGATATTAACTCTTAAGTCACTTATGTTAATAATATTTTTTAATCTATTATTTCAATATAGATATGATTATTGATGAAATGTACTTTATTTTTATTTTGTTCATTGGATTAAAAGTTATAAGTTATAACTTTATAAGGCCTACTCCTATTCTTATAAAAATTAAAATGTAGAACTTTAAAGTTTAAACTAATGGTTGGGAAAATTATTTTTCTTTCTTTAGAATTTAGGAATAGATTCAACTGAACAACCAGATAATCATATCACTGATGAAAGTGAAACAAATGTTGAAGATGACGCTGATGATGGTGATGATTTTGAGAAATTCCTACAAAACAATTCCAATATAATACGTAATCAAAATGCCTGTTTGCCAAGTTCTTCTCAGGACTCTAATAATACTACATTAAAAAGAAAATTGGAAGAGTTTTCTAAATCCGATAGATTAAATTATAAGGAAGATGTTGTGAAGTTTTGGACTAAAAAAAAAAATGAGATGAGAGAATTATTTGAATTAGCCCAAGTACTCTTAGCAGTACCAGCCACACAAGTATTATATTTAAATATTAAATAATTAAAAATTAAATTCACAGCTTAGAACATTTTTAATTGTTCTTATTTGTTAAAAAATAAGTCACTATATTAATTCAAATTTATAAGTATTATTATTTACTAGCTGCCCGATCTCCCTCCGGAAGAAATTATTTTTTTATAATTTAATTTAAAAACATAAGACTATTTTTTGGCTATACAAATAATATAACGGTTATAAAATAAAAAAAAAAGAAACAGACATCGTTATCGGTGAATATATGAAAATAATTGGTAATTAGTTAATTATTATTATTATTATAATGAGGGTTCAAAACCGGTTCCTTCGTCTCCAAAATCAAGTTAGATTCTTATATATATAGATAACAAATATAAAGTTAATATTTTTTTATACAAACCTAAATACCTATGTTAAATAGTACAAAAAAATATATTTAGGTATTTATGAATAGGTAATAATAATGAAATGAAAATGTTTTAATTTAATGTTAAAGACTGGATTATTGTTAAGGCAAAAACTGGGTTGTGCCAAAGACTAGGTTTCAACTATAAAAAAGACTGGACTTTTTGTGCCATACANCCTAAATACCTATGTTAAATAGTACAAAAAAATATATTTAGGTATTTATGAATAGGTAATAATAATGAAATGAAAATGTTTTAATTTAATGTTAAATGGGTATTTTTAAATAAATATTTACATAGTTATAATCATTTGAAAGAGTCAGAATTCATCATAATTAGGTTAATGAAATAATATTGTAGCATGGTTATAAAAAGTGAATTAATATTTAGATTTGGTAATAAAAAAATAATCGCTATAGCCAAAGACTGATGCCGTTACCATAGGCAGCAGCGTGGTAGTTTGACTTTGAGTTTGACTTGGTGGTGCAAGACAAAATATAGACCCCCGCTTCCACACAACCACAACAATAAGGATTTATCGATAAAGATTTTTCATATAATTGTTTTAATCTAAATTAAATTATTTACACTTTTCACATACTATAAACCAAGGCTAGTCAATTTAATGATATTTTTTAACTCAAATAAATTTTTTGTTCAATTAAATTAAAAGTCAAGTTAATAATTAGGTAATGTAAGTAGGTAAATAAAGAAACTTTAGATCATAATCTATACTATTATATAAAATGGTAAGGGTTTTCTTAGACCGCGCTAACCGAGAAAACTACCGAACCGATTTGGCTGAAATTTTTTACTGTTATACTTGATAGTCTGCTGGAGGTCATAGGACCACTTTTGTTTAGAAAAATCCACCAGAAAGTAGGAAATATGGATGTCAAAAATACAACAGTGGCGCAATCTGTATAGAAAAAATAAACTAAATAATAAAAAGTTGTTGTTGTTGCAGATTAAAATAATAATAGTTGCTATTGGTTAATGGGGCATTTTTGTTGATTTGAGTTATTATTTTTCGTGAATTACGTGTACGCCAATTACGAGTATAATTTGTGCTTACTTTTTGATTATTCTTATGAGTTAAATTTCGGGTAAGTGGCTAATTCATCATCATGCCAAGAGCACCAAGAGCATACATTGACAGAAGAACTGCCAATGATACTCTAATATATAACAGAATGTATAACACAACAGAACGTTCTCAAACACTTGCACAGGAGCAACGTAACGCTTTGAGTATGAAATCAGCGTTTAATTATCAATCCGAGATTGATTATTTAAATATTAAAGCGCTTCAAATAGGACCAATGACAATGATATTATGTCCTAAGTGCCATGCAAAAAAATGGAAAGATGAAACCAATAGACTTTGCTGCGCTGACGGTAAAGTTGTTTTACAACAATTTGAGGATCTTCCAGAATTAATTAAAAGTTTAATGATAATTCTCACCCTTTATCAAAACATTTCTTTGATAATTCTAAACGGTATAATACTCTGTTTCAAATGACATCGTTTGGAGCAAACGAAATAGCTGAAGGGAACTTCATGCCCACTTTAAAAATTCAGGGTCAAGTGCATCATTTAATAGGTAGTTTATTACCCGAAATTGGTTTTAATGCTAAATTTTTACAAATATATTTTATGTCAGATTCGGTTCAAATATCTGTTCGAACAAATATGATTCAAAATTTAAAAAGAGTTCTTTGAAT